TATTAAAACTTATACTACGCATGCCCACGTGATTATTTTTCCCGTCCCTTTCCCGTCCCCGTAAAAAACCGGATGAGTGGAACTCGCCTTTAGATTGAAAGTATCAAAAAAACCAAGCCCTTTTCTAATAACTTTTTATCAATATGATTCTCAATATAATATGAGTGGATAAAGTAGTTAAGTTTTTCATTAAAAAAAAAACAAACAATGTCAGACTATCAAAAAGAAAAGATATTCATTTCGTTTGTTATATATATTATTCAAAGCACATCAATACTTTCTGTGTTCACTCATTCAATAGTATCTAATAAGGCTACAACTTGTCTTCTTCTTCACAAAAAATGTATTTTTCAAGTAAAGCGCAATTTGAACTCCGAAAATTTGGTCGTGGTTTCCAGATCCTTAGCCATTAAGCTACATCTGCAACCAAAACTATTTGAAAAACTATGATTAAGTTTATTTTTAATTTTGTATAGAAAAAAATTAAGTCTTTCACTAGCGGAGGGTGGGGAGAAGTATGGAGAAGTGGGACACGAAACATTTTTTTTTTTAGAGTAGTTGCAATGTCTTTTTTATTTAATGTATGAACTGATCCAAACAAGTCTTAACAAATAAAGCAGTATTTAAGGCACTGATTTCACTCTCTAAGATGGGTGGCATCTTTTAATTAAGTATGAATTTTTTTGATTCTAGAGGAACCTGGTATTAGGGTAAAATGGGACAAAGATGGGTGAAGTGGAACAAGTACGCGTAAAAAGCGGGATATTTGGGGTAGAAGTGGGACTATATAAAAACAACTCTAAAACTAGCTAAATATTTATTTGAGCAAACATTGATTTTAAAGTTTAATTTAAATAAAAAAAAATAGTCTATGCACCAATGCATTTTTCCAAATAGACTTATGAGAGAATATGAAAGCTCAATTTTTATTAATGCACTTTCGTAACTAGAATAATGATCTTTAATTACTTAAACGAAACACGTGCGGTTTTGTTTGTATTTAATTTAATGTGATTTACACAGTTTAGTGCATATCATCGTTATTAATTTAATTTAGTATATATGGTATAGTATAGCTATTCGTTTTGATATCTAGTTTGTATTTAATTTAAATTATACAGTTTAGTACTCGGTGTAGTTAAGGAAATTTTAAAATATTATAGCGTCTGTATGACATTTTGTTGACTCCTACATATTTCAATAAATGATCAGGTCTGTGAATTATGAAAAAACGATAAAAATGAAAATGATGATTTTTGTGCTATCATAAAATATAAATGTTCATAGCCAAAAAACCCAGACCGAAGATTTTTTATTTTTTTTAAAAAAATCATCTTAAAATCATAATCGCATGTCCAAATTTTAATAAGGTTTTAAATAAAGACGTTTTTTAGGTGAAATGAGCATTGTAGTATAACAATATGATCTGTTCTGATTGTTTATTGGCAATTTTTCTTAATCATATGCCCTTTCCTGGTCGGAATCAGACTTGGACTAGGTCGGAAGATTCCCGGTAGGCCGGCTGCCATAAAAAGATCATGTTTTTAGTTAGGTCACAATTTATTTTCCGTTGATTATTATAATAAACATAAACTAAAATGTAACTAAAAGAAAATTGTAACCTCTTATCCAAACTCTGACATTCGGTATAAATTGAACAGTAATCAATCCAAGCCAAGTGAAGAAACTTAAAACAACTATAATTATTTTGTGAAACCCCTATCAGATTTTTCGAAATCGTTTTTTAAATTCCATCCAAAGAAAAACAATTTTGATCTAAACGTTAAAATTAATTAACATAAGTTTTACTTCAGAAACAATAGGCCTTGTCACTGGCAAAGACACAAAAACTGTTTTGTTCACACAGAACTCAACTTCATTTTGCAATAATTCTTTCCTAAATAGACAATTTTGAAACAATGACCCAAGAAACAGTCCACATTCGGATAGCCAAATTCCCTAGTCATTTTACCAGGCATTTATCAAAGCCTCAGATCAATCAAGGTTCTTTAATGGATAAAACTTTACAAGTATATTTATCAGAACATAAAAGCGATGCTCTCCATGCAGCCTGCACAGAATCATATGTTTTAAAAATCAATTTCAGATATATTATAAGCATTTATATGCGCTGACATGATAAAGAGGTTAAAGAGAATCGTTTAATTTTAGAAAAAAATCATAGAAACTTTAAAAGTTTTTGATAAGCGTGGGTTTAGCTACAGAGGTGAAGAAGAGTCTGGGTTCATATTGCTTGATGACAGTGTTAATCATGAGAATTTTTTGGTGTAGCTGTACATAAACAAATATTTCATGATATCTCTACATCAATCAAATTTAATAATGATGTTCATTACAGAGCAAAAGCTCTTTTAGATTCCTTGACAATTTTTGAATTTATTTTGACGGCAAAATTGTTTTTGAAAGTGATTGAGAACAAAACGTTATCATCAAATTATTTGCAAACAACTGGAATGGATATAATACAAAAATATAGATTTAAAGTTCAGATTGGATTAAAAGAGAAAAGAATTAGAGCCAGCAAATTACTTGAAAGTGCAAAAGATAAATTTCGTGTTAATGTTCACAACATTGCCATTATTTAAATAATTAATAGTTTAAAAGAGAGATTATCTGAGCATGGTATATGCCTATTTATTTTGTTTAGATCCAAGAAATTTTGCAGAAATTTTTGAAAAAATGCCTAGTCACGCATTGCAGCACCTCAGTGGGTTGCACAGAAAATTTGATGCTTGTGTAACAATAGACTAGCTTCAAAAGTAATTATTGTACTTTGCAAGGAAATGTTTTGAAACATCTCTTGAAGATGAGTATAATTTGATATTTGACACGGAAGTATTTAACTCTGTTTTGGACAACATCTGACTAAATCCGTAGAATTTGAAACTGTCTTTAGAATCCCAGCAGTAGAAAACAGCCGACAGCCACAGAAATAAACGTAAATTTTGCAAAAAATGTATTATATGTTGTTACTTTGTACTCCAGAAGTTCAATTTGCATAATTTTGTCTATTCAAATTTGTTTCTGACATTATCCCATTCATAAGTTGCTTGTGAAAGGTCATTCTCAAAATTAAGTATTTTTTGAACAGATTAAGGAATTTGATAAACCGCTCAAATCATTCATGCTAATATCTTGTGAAAAAGATCTTTTTACAAGAATTAAGGATAAAGCAATCATTGATGTTTTGGAATCAACTAGTCAAACAATGAAAAGGTTACTATACTAGTCAATAGTAAATAACGATTGTGTCTACTATTTAGAATTCAACTTACAGCAATGTTTTAAAAATATTGTTTTTTTTTATCAATATTTAGGTTGAGAAGATTAAAAAACTTTTTATAGATAAAGTAACAATAAAAAATGAAACATAAGATAAGGTGGGCCGCCATGACCAAATTTCCCGGGCCGTTCTCCTCGTTTTCGAAAATTTGCTGACTGCCATGACGATATTTGCCAACTGACTGTCTAATTTATCGAAACTGTCTAACTGACCGACTAACCTATCGAAAGGGTCTTCATTTGCCGACTAACTAGTCAAAAAGGGTCAAATTTGCTGACTAAAAATCATTGATATGGGGGGGGGGGGGGCTATCACACCCCCGCACCCCCCTATCCCGCCGCCCTTGTATATATATATATATATATATATATATATATATATATATATATGTATATATATATATATATATATATATATATATATATATTTTGTATATATTTAGGTACTCCCAGAAGTCTTTGCGGTCTTATCATAGAGCACCGCGGGAGAGCATTTAATAGGAAGTTCACGCCTCCTTCCGTACCAATGTCGCTTTTTGGGCTGGAGCTGGCGTCGAACCTCGAACCTCTGGGTTCTGAGCCAGTACTCTAACCACTGCGCCACGGCTGCTCAATATATATATATATATATATATATATATATATATATATATATATATATATATATATATATATATATATATATATATATATATATATATATATATATATATATATATATATATATATATATATATATATATATATATATATATATATATTATATATTATATATAAATAAAATATATATATATATATATGTAAATAAAATATAATTTATATATATATATAAATTTATATATACATATATATAAATAAAATATAAAAGAAAAATATAGATAAAATATAAAATATATAAATATAGCATATAAGTGTCAAACATCAAAACATTGGGCTGTTTAACAAATAAAATCTCATTATGTTAGTAGGCTGATTTTGATTCCAAAAAATCAACTAATCAAATTCTTTTATTTTAAATATTAAATCAATACCTCTATCAATATTAAACTAATCAATAATTGATAAGTTTTTTTTATAAAACTAGTATTTATACGCGCCGAACGCAAGGGTAACTGACTTTTGCCTATGTGAACTATTTAATAAGCATTTTGTAATCTATGTTTTTGTAAAATATTCTGTAATCTTTAAAGTTAAAAAAAGCTATCCTATATCTTTTTATTACTTATTTTACTTGTCTTAAAACGTGTTTTGTATTGAACCGCTCTCTTATAGTAACGGAAAGGTATAGTATAGCGTTATATATACCATATTTCATATTAGATGAATTGGTGAATTGCAATACAATATTTATTATTACCGTATTACAGTATTAAAAATAGTTGTAAATCACAGGTATTGTTATTGTTTCTAAAAAAATCAATACAACAACAATAGCTATTGTAACTGCTGTTGTTTTCATTACAATTTCAACAGTCCGAACCCTAAAAAAAAAAAAAAAATTATCAAAAAAAAAAAGCTTTTTTTTTACAGTTTAAGTATTCAATGTTAAGCAAAAATCATTTGTAACCCATTTAACACAATTTTAACCAAAACTATAAATCTTTAACGCGGTTAAAGTTGTTTGTAACTTACAGCGAAGCTCACAACTTTAACCGCGTTCTGACGCGTTAAAAATATTTGTAAGAGCAACACTGAGGATGGTTGTAACCACATAATCCACCGTTACGTTACCGCGAAATTGTATGCGGTAAAGATTGCTCTAATTAAAATATGCCTTAACTAAAAGATACATATTATCTATTATATAAAAAATTACATATATATATTTATTTATTAAAAATATGAGTCATCGGGAAACAGTAGTCTATCATCAAGTTAGCGAAGAAACAACTCTATTCTCTACCACTACGAGGACGAGTGTAGTTGATTATGCTACTATTTCAAAAACTAAACATATTTATTCATATATTACACTAGCAGATATATTTCAAAAAGTAGTTTATACAACAATAATAACCAGTCTGCTGCTATATATTTATTTATATTTAAAACTTGGTTCAAAATATGCTATTGCAGGCTATTTTGTTTTTACATGTTTATCATGGTTTACTGCTGCGGCAGTAAATTTTTTAGACGACTATTTATCAAGAAAAATGGGTATAATGATTGGTTTTGGATTTTTCATTAGTGGAGTTGCTATTATATCTGGATTGTCGCACTACATTGTTGATAATAGTACTTTAAGGTATATTGTTTTAATCCCTTTATATTTTATTTGCATTGGAGAAAGTTTGTGCAAAACATTATTAGGTGATTTTGGGCATGAACAATTGTCTAAAGTTAGATTCACAGAGCAACTAAAGGCATATACAGATAATGTGTATTGGATAGGACATTTAGGTGCAATATTTTTAATAGCATTTTTGCTAGGTATTGCAGAGTTTGCCAGTTTTGAAGTAAGTTATGGGCTGTGTTGTGTCTCACTTGCTTTTGGAATGGCTTCTTTTATGATGGGTTGGTCGAAATTTGCTAAACAAGATTCATTGAAAAAATACAGTATAAAGCTTTTATTTTTACTTTTTAAAGAAAGCAGAAAGATAAAGAAAGAGTTATCTCAACGATGCAAGAGGTTTGTTTTATTTTGATTAGTAAAGTTTGTATTAAAATATAAAAACATGTTATTGGATCGCTGATAACATTAAAGACTGTTAAATTCAGTTGTTTCATATATCAATATGTCAAATATGTTTTATTTAAACAGTGAAATGGTTGATGATTCTACAAGTTTTAAAGGTTCTCCACAACATTGGCTTGACTATGCAAGAACCAAGTTTGGCGGATCATATTCAGATTCAATTATCCAAGAAGCCAAATCTTTTTTTAAAATGTCACAAATTTTTATCTCATTTATTCCCTACTGGATTTGTAATGCTCAGGTTGCAATTTTTGTTAAAATGAACAAAGTTAGCATTTTTGATTGTTGTATAAGTTTTATATATATACTTAACTTATATATTATAGTTATAAAAAATTAAGTCTTTCCTGTCATAAATGGGTATTCAGTGGACTTATTTCTCTTGTTAAATTTGCCTTTCTATATCTTTTTTAAACTAGTTTAATAAGTTTTTTTTTTCCCCTCATAAATATGATCATTTAAAATGACCGTATCTCATATTTATATGAGATATGGTCATTTAAAATTTCTAATTTTCAAATGACCATGTAATGTTGAGATTATTCTTTTTAATGTCATATTTTGTTCATAATGGCTAGCTATAAAACCTAAAAAATTGTTTGCAAATATAAAAAGTTGTTTTTTGATAGGTCATTTACAAAATTAGCAATTTATAGAGTAAGAAATTATTTTTTAGTTTCTTTAAATAGTAGGCTTCCTAATTTATTGAAATAAAAAGACATTCAATTCAGTAAGAAGTAATGAACTTCTACAAATTAGTAGTTATAAAAGATTTATAGATGCACTCATAAATACTGTATTAATAGAGTTATTGATGTACTTTAGTTTGTTTTATATATTGCAATAAAAATTATATTTATAAAAACAAACATGGAAGTTAATATAAAAGATAATATTTTGCATATTATCTTTTATATTAACTTCCTCAATTACTTTTACTTAGACATTTAAAGAACATATTTATCGAAAACCAACAAATATCTTCTTTAAATGTCTAAGTAAAAGTAATTGAGGAGACTGCTTCATCAACTTGATAAGGAAAAAATTTTCTTCAGAAATTTCTACAATATTGCCTAAAAACCATTTTACAATACATGTTAATTCCTGGTTAATAAAAAGCAAGTTTTTTTCTTATGTTTATTCGCTTTGGCGTCTTTTCGCTATTAAAAATATTTTTTCTATATTTGACGTTTTTTCTCAATACTTATTTAATAGGAAAATAAGCAAATAATTTGCAATTTATTAGTAAAATATATTATTTCACTAATACATTTTATAATGTAATGATGGAAAAAATTAAATAAAAGAATAACATGGTTACTTTTATAAATGTATTTACCACATTTAATGCCTGTCTGAAATTGTTTTGCCCAATTCCAATGTTAATACGACTTACTAGAGATAATGAACATAACGATTGTTCTGTTTGAAAAAATGTGTTTAAAAAATTTTAAATAGGCTCCTAAAAATTTCGTTCAAAAAGTTCAGTAAATTAATAATAAACTAGCCCACAAGCTTTTCAAGCATTGTTAATAAAAATAGTTCATCAGGAATTAAACTATTGGGTTTACAATTTGGATAATTCAATGAAAGTGCAGACTATTTCAATGGGGGTAGTGAAAACAACGAAATATTTTTTATTTGAATATTACTATTACTGACTATATTTTTACATAAAAAACTTGTTAAGGATAAAAAAAAGTTTTACAAATATATAGTAATTAGTTTTCTCGTGCGTTGATAAAAGAAGCTAAGTTTATCAAAAGCATTTGAAAAGCAACTTTTATAATTTTACATGTTTCTAGAATGAATAATAAAGTATTTCCCTAATATACTGACTGAAAAAAGTTGCAAATAAATTGTATATCAAAAAATGTTTTTAAAATCACACATTTTGCTTAATTGATTGATAAACTAGTTTGTCATACTTTAAAGTTGTTTAAAGTAGTGCATATTTCCCTATATACTTCTTCAATAACTTCCTGGTTTTTTTTGAAAAAGGCAGCAGATATAATATGCTAATATATAACTTGTTATTAAAAATCAAATATTTCATTTATAATCAACAGACCAAACAATTTTTTTAGTATAAATTGAGTGTCATATAAAGTTATCAAGTTATTCAAGTTATCAAGTTATTTAAGTTTACGATAGTTTAAGCAGTGAAAGTTAATGGGAAACACCTGAATCGAGTAAAAGTGAAGAAACTGCGCTCTATTTTGAAATTGAAGATATTTTGGGCTAATTTATTTAAAATGAATATTTATAAATAATTTATAACTATATGTATTCCTTTTGTATGATAAAAATAATACTATATGATTTCTTCATATTTTATTTTTTAAAATTTAATTTAATTTACATAAAAAAATGAATCAACTAAAAACGCGCAATGAAAAGTGTTATATTTTATTCCATTATTTTAATAAGACAATATGATAATATTCAAATAGATCTTGCAAAATTGCTACGTTCATTGCAAAATTTTTTAAACAAATGTTAAGATGCTTGAATAAAGAAACGTGATGGTTGCAAAGGTTGAATAAAAAATTGTGATGGTTGCAAAGGTTACGCCACGCTGTTAGGGGGAGAGGGAGTTAGTAGTTTTGTGACGACTCATACTAAACTTGCTACCTAAGTGTTACGATTTTGTGACGAGGGGGTGGGGGTAAGGTCAAAAATGGTCAAAAACTGCGTAACACAATTTATGGATGACCCCTATCCAACTATTCGAAGCTTAATTACTAAAGTCTTCTTAAATAGTTTGTCACTCTCCTAGTTGTTAATAAAGCGGTTGTAGAAATTTTTATATATGATGGCATTTTCATTCACACAAAATATATATATATATATATATATATATATATATATATATATATATATATATATATATATATATATATATATATATATATATATATATATATATATATATATATATATATATATATATATATATATATATATATATATATATCAGGCCTTCTCAGGAGACGCGTGCGGTCGCACGCCTTGAATGACCACGCATATATATTTTTTTGTTGATAACATGGCCACGATTTTTTTGCATTTATTAAAAATGACGCATTTTAAAAACGCTCTGAAAAAATCAAACTAATTAGTCATCTTATTGGTTTTTTTATTGTTAATAATTTATAATTATAATTATTTATGAGAAAATAAAAACCTAACAATAATGCCCATATATATATTTGTAATTAATGATAAAATAAAAAGTCAAAAATAATATATATATATATATATATATATATATATATATATATATATATATATATATATATATATATATATATATATATATATATATATATATATTTGTTTTCATGCGTTTAATAAAATTCTGGCGATTTTTTGTTAAGTTTTTGTTTACTAAATGAATTACGTCATTAAGTAATTATTATTTCTTCCTGTTGGCTTATTATTGGCTTCCTGTTGACAAGGTTTTAACTGAAACTTTTTATATAAGGAGAATTAAAAAAAAAAACTTTTTTATTTTTTATATGTTTTAAAATTATTTATTTTATTGTGTTTTTTTTTTTGTTTATTTATGTACTATTATTTTGGTTGACATATAGATGTTTAGAACATTTAAATATTGAAAAATTTAACTTAGCAGCATTTTAAAAATTCAATCTTATAAAAATAAAGCAATACACATAAACGTAAGAAGTGTAAATAAAAACTTCGACAAACCAATGACTCAATTAAGTAATAATAAAGATGTAAAACTAAAATATTTTTCTGAAGTTACTCTTGGTCTTGCGAAAAGTCTATTTCGAGTTTGATAACTTTCATGAATGTTATGAAATATCACTCAGGAAGAGTGCCACCAGTTTTTAAAAAATTTCTTTGTTAATTATTTTTAATGAATGAGTTTAATACTTATGCAATTATTTTATTACGTAACTCTAACTCTTAATAATAGATAAAAAAAAATCATGATAACTGCTCGATAATGTTAGTGATATAATTTAAGTAAAAAATACAGTATCAAAAAAATAAGTTTATTTAAAAAAGTTTTTATAAAAATTTTAAATTGGTATAGAATTCTCTGCATTTTGTAAAAGTTTCTAATACAAACTGCTTTACTGATCCGTAGAAATGAGACCTATAAGTTGAATTTGTTTTTTTACGATGTTTTCCGTGTAACATAAGTGCAAGTGGCATTTTTAGTAATAAGTTTGCTCTCTTTTGGCCGAACTCAAAACTTTTAGGCTTATTTTATTTATTAGACTAACAGCTTTCATACAAAATTGCTAAAAGTTTAATTTAAAAGTTTAAATTAGCAAATATTTGATAAAGTTGTTGCGCGTGTAACGTAAGTTAAAAATGGAATTGCACATATATGTTATTTTAATGTTTTTATTTTCTCATTAATAACTATAATAATGAATTATTAATAATAAAAAAAAAGATAAGCAATTAATTTGGTTTTTCAGCGCGTTTTTAAAATGCGTCATTTTTAATAAATGCAAAAAAAATCGTGGCCATGTTATCAACAAAAAAATATAGATGCGTGGTCATAATATATATATATATATATATATATATATATATATATATATATATATATATATATATATATATATATATATATATATATATATATATATATATATATATATATATATATATATATATATATATATATATATATGTATTAAGGGGTAAACAGATTCTATCTGTTAACCATTCTTGCACACCTTCTCTATTTTTTAGGCTGGTGTAGATGTATTTATAATACATTATTTTCAGTTTAGAATGTTAAATGCTGGATCTTCCTGACTCGATGCATGGGTTTTGCTTGTGTCTCTGTTTTTATGACTAGGCAACTCATTCTACAATCTCCTAATGAGGGTACAGCTTTAAAACTCAGTTTTATGGTTCTGAGGCCAGCTGGAAATCAGGTTTCCCAAACTCTGTGGCAACTCTCAGAGAGGCTGATTTCATATTTTTATAACTAGGCAACTCGTTTTACTATCTCCTAATGAGGGCACAGCTCTAAAACTCAGTTTTATGGTTCTGAGGCCGGCTGTTAGTTGTGTTTCATAAACTTTGTGGCAGCTCTCTGAGAGGCTGATTCCATCAACAGCTGTAAAATATCAAAGTACTAACAGTACCATGTTGCGCACAGATGGTGTCCCTGTTTGTAATTTTGGTGTGCATTGTCGAGGCCACATTTCAAGCCCTTTTTTATGGCTTAGGATTTATTAATAGTAATGAGGCAATTGCTTAGACTATTAAGTAGTGTACTGAGTATTATCTGTGCTTTGAGTCTAGTTCTTTAACAAATTTAAAAATGACAAAAGTACCAAAAAATATAAAACACAAAAAACCAGTGTCATCACTAAGTTTTCTAAATCTATCATTCACAAATATTTGTGGTCTTAGTAACTTTTCTTCTGTTAAGTCTTATCTCTTGCAAAGTACACCAGACCTACATGTTCTTTGTGAGACTAATTTGAGTTCAACTACCTCATCTTGTGATCTTAGTGTTGATGGTTATCTTCCTGTAATTCGTAAAGACTCCAATAGTCACATTCTTAGCCTGGGCATCTATATTTGTAAGAATTCACCAATTTGTCGAGAAAATAGGTTTGAATCCACAGATTATTCTTTTATGTGCTTTTGTTTGCAAAATGAATTAGTTTGCAAATAAAAAGGAATGATTTCTTTAAAAAGTATTGTAAAACCATTTTACATTTATTCAAAGTCAAATTTAAATGTTTAATTTGTAAAATTGTATTCAAATTTGTTTAATTAAAAAGTTTGACTATCTGGGTTTTTTATACTCAAAAAATAAAATTGCTTCACAATGTGGTTAACATTTTTTATACATAAATTAATTTAATTGAAATAAATGCTGTATAAACAAAATACAACTTAAATAAATAATATCAAATAAAAATTTACATAGATAAAAGTTTTGTTTTAGGTAAGTTTTCTATCGTGTTGGTGTAATCACTATTTTGTGCATTAAGTCACTGGATAACACTTCTTAACAAGGCTATCTATCCATCCAGCAGACACAAGTTCTGTTTTAAATATCTAAAATATGTATTTTTATGTATATATGTTTTTTAAATTGCTAGGTGTATAGACAAAATTACTGTCAATTTTTCTAATTTTTTTTTTTTTTAGGGTTATAGCACATTTATTTTTCAAGCTTTTCATCTCAATACATCATTTGGAAGTTATACATTTGCTGTTTCATGGATTGCCCTTGTTAATATCATTGCTGTACTTACTTTCGTAAAACTCTTTGAAAAAGTTCTGTTTCCTGCTCTTCGTAGAAATGGTTATAGTTTTCTCACAAAGTGGAGGATTATTGTAGGAATGATGTGTGCTCTATTTTCTATGGTTTTAGGTATTTATATTTTTGATATTATTTGATTTTAATTTGTTTCAATATTTGGTATACTGAAAAAGAATAATATTTATAACAGACAAGTATTAAAAATCAAAAAAAAAAAAAAAAAAAAGTAAGAAAAATAACAATTAAATATAACAATTGAATAAGTCTTTAAACATGTGTTTTAAAGGGATTGCAAACTTCCAACACATGTTGTGTTCATATTAAAGGTAATGTTAAAAAAAAGGTTTAAACCAATTTTTTTTAGTTAAAAATAAATAATGAATGCTCGCCTTCTCCATTTTACTCTAAAAATCGAAGTCTTTAAATTATATGTTGCAATCTACAGACTTCGGTAATTCTTTTGAAGCGCATTTAATTCATAAAAGTTTTAGTATTTGATGTCATGGTAGATTTTTGACAAATAAAAAATGTAATTAAACAAAGCTGCGCTTTTCTACTTTTTATTTAAAAAGTATGTTGTAATATTTTTTTAACATACAGCAAAACAAATTTATTTACTTTTCTAAACATCGCAAAAAAAAATTGTAATAAGTAAAAATAATAAATTATTTTCATTTTATAGAAGCAACTTATTTTTTTACAGATATCTTAATAATTTTAAATTTAGATATCTTACTTATATATATATATATATATATATATATATATATATATATATATATATATATATATATATTATATATATATATATATATATATATTTTTAAATTAGTATATTAATAAAATATTAAAGCTTTACTTACCAATCTTATGATTTTCATACAAGTATTTTATATTATATAGAACGTTATATATAAGGGTTCTCATTTTTGCGCTAGAGAGCGCAGTATTATACATTCTGAATCTTACTTAATTCCATTTAAACAATGGAAACTATTTTCTAACTTCTCTGGTCATTTTTACACAATAAGGTTTTTTGTTCCCCGTCAAAAAAAGTATTTATTAACAATTAATTTCATTAACTGACAGTATTAATTATAGATATTTGATGAACTGTTAAATTTCTTTATTATAAAAAAACTTTTATTTACGCTGATTTAATTTAAATTGTCAAAATGTTGTAATGCGCCTTAAAAAACATATATTTGGTGTTTCCCAATTTACATTTCGTATTTGGCATTTTTCTCTTAACGTGGAAAATTAAAAAACTAAAAAAATTGACAAATACAAGTTTTTTAATAAACTCTACAATAATGCTACACAATTTTGTACACAAACACACAAACACAAACACACAAACACACAAACAAGACAATAACACACAATTTTGCAACCTTTAGTCATAATAATTACTGTTTTGTAAATAAAACAAAATACAAAATAGATGCTTTTCAAAATAAATTTAATTAAATATATTCTCACATGGCTAAATAAGATAAATTTTGTGAATATATGAAAACACCTGATGAATATTTTACTAAACAATAGACGATGTGGTGTCTGACTTTTTCCACAAAATATGAGTAGTTCTGAATGTCAGACAAGAAAAATTTATTTTTTCTCTAATATAATTTCCATACTATTAGAACAAATATGTTCCTAGGGCTTTTTTTGATCTTAGAATAAAACAACACAATATCGCATAATTTTAGGGGTTTTTTATTTATTGCTTAGTCGTTCTAAATAATTAGTAAATTTAGTTTAAGGTAATCTTTCAATATTTACAGTTGCAATAAAATAAAAAAAAGATGTTTAATGTTAAACTTTTTTTTTAGTTAATTTTTTACCTACTTTTGTTATAAAAGACTTTAGTCATTAAAATCATTTGTTTTAAATATATTTTGACATGATTATTTAAGTTTTTTTGTTTGACTTCCCAAACTTCATACAAAGCAAATTCAGATGAAATATTTTCTAACCAAATAAAACTTCTGTTACTAATTTTATACAGGTAATTAATATAAAACAATTTTTTATCAGAATCTTGATTAAGATAATAAATACTTCATCATTTATTAAAATTTAATATAGCGCAATAACACTTTATAGCAACAAAGGAGCATAAAATGTTTGAGGTTTTTAATACCTTTTTAAATATTAAAATTAGAAAATAAATAACTAAACAAATAATGAAAAAATTTATGAATAAATTTTCCAGAGTTTTATTTGTCAATAGTTTACCGTGATGTCAAATACTATAACATTTATGAATTAAATGCACTTCATAGGAGTTACCGAAGTCTGTTGATTGCGACATATAGTTTAAAGACTTTTTGAGTAAAATAGAGAAAGCGAGCTTCAAATAAAATGACAAGATTAATTTTTCTTTCTATGTTTAATCAAAAAAACTTGGTTCAAACCTTTTTTTTTTCAACATTGTCTTAAATATGAACACAACATGTGTTGGAAGTTTGGGATCCCTTTTACAATCTTTGGTAAACCCCAAAAGAAAACTACCAAATGTCAACTGTATTAATTTCATTTTTTTCTGGTTCAAACAAATTGTTAATATTAATTCTGGTTCAAACAAGTTGTTAATATTAATTCTGGTTCAAACAAGTTGTTCAACAAAATAATAGTTGCTAAAATCAAAAGTAAAATTCAAAAGATTTCATAAATTTTTATTATATTGATTTTAAATTAAGTATTTGTAAAAGTTCCTAAAGTTTTTATTTTTATTTAAATATCAGCGGTAGCGTGACTTAATCTGCTATTCCGCAACTCTACTTCATGCGGACTTTCCATGGTAACAATGAGTTGCAAAAGCACTCTCACTAAGAAAATTTGGTAACGGCCTGAATTCGCTACCTAAAAAATTTTTAAAGTACTACTCTGCTACCATTTATATTTAAAAATACCAATTGAAATTGTTTAATTTACAAACCTTTTCATTTACTAAAGATGAATGGAAAGGAATCTTTCAAAATATAAAAGTTTTCCTGTGTTAATAAAATAATCTCAGATGGATGCAATTCGATTTAAAAATATTTGAAAAAGCAGCATATGTTCTTTATATTAAATGTTTGGAACTGGATGTATTAACTTTATTATTTAAACAGGAGAGTTTGCAAAAGCAACTTATTTCAAAAACTGTTAAGTAATAACTGTTTCTAGTTTCAGAATACTTTGCAAATTTAAAAAATGTTGTAGTCAATCTGAACCAGTTAGGTTCAGTCAAGAGTTCAGGAAAAGCAGAGAATCCCGAGCTGTTCAACTCTCCAGATAGCAAGGATATAATTGTCCCGCACTGGTCCTGTGTAGGCTGTTGCGTTGGACCAACAGCGGTTGCCGACATTTGCTAAGCTCTGTTTTGCTCTAAAGATTTTTCATGGACCAGCCATGGCTAGCCAGTGACAAAGCAGTGGCTAGATACTACAGGATAAGAACTGGCAGAACAATCATTAGCCATTGCTACATTGTACTATCATGATATTTTCATTGGTAACTAACTGGGTCGTGCATGGTATTGTTCATATATTTTCTTTTTAGACTCTGTTTTTTTAATTATTTGAAATTGTTTTAGCAGAATCAGCTTTAATATTTTGTATGGGGGTATTTTTTTGAATATAATTGTAATTCATTTTTGCATTGCATGCAAAAATAAATTACAATATTTTTAAAGAAAAATGGCAATGCGAAAAACTTTGTATGTTTTAGTTATTTAAAAATAAGTTTTTTTTTTTTCTTTATAAAAAAACTTTGATAAGATAATCAGGTCCATAGTACTTATTGCCTGAAAATCATATAAAATTGAATAATTAATTAATTTTAAAAATTGAATAACTCATTAATTTTAAAAGCCTGGACGAGTTACTAATTACAATTTTATTTGATAATCTAGATAGAAATATTCTAATGGATAGTTTATTCAGCATAATGCAGAGTTTCATAAGTTGTATGATAATAAATTTAGTGATATAAATTTAGAAAGGGCTGATAGACAAGTACTACTAAACCAACTAGACTACAAAAAGAAAAATGATGGTATCGAACATAATTTTTGTGTTATGAATCAGCTACTAATTAATAGGGTTTCTTTAAGAACAGCTTGTAAAATCATTTTAAATAATATAAATATGTAAGAAAATGTGCTACTATTCTTGAAGATAGTACTTAGATAAGCTTAGTACTGGTGATCTGATAGCCCCAGATGCTACATATCATTTTACTTGTCGGCTAAGTCACTATAGAAGATATAAATAGAAAGGAGTTCGATAAAATATCATATGATAATTCTGACAAACAAATTGATGCGCTAAATTGAAACATTGTATGATACAAGAAACAAAAGATAATGGTAACAACGTCTTTAAATTGGCTTTTGACTTAGTTTTAAATGTCTGACCTTGCTTAACTATAAAAAGATCAATGAATTTAATGGAAGCATTTCTTAAAGGATTCATACAACAAAATTAAAGCAGAGATTGTTGGCATATGTAGAAAATCTAAGGGAGTTTAGTTATATAAAGTTTTCCTATTTTATATTTGGCAAAAATGTTGGAAATGAAAAGAATAACAAAGATAATTTTTCATATTGTCTGACAGTTAAGATCTTGCGGCAAAATCTTGCTAATCTAAGATATTCTTATAATCAGTCATAATTTTAATGATTGTAATTTACAAGATTGCTAAAGAGAATTTGTTCCTGCTTATTTCATTTGATGACACCATTTTGCAAGGGAATACAAGTAATAAATGTAGTTGAAGTTTAGAAAAAGTAACTTTAACAATTAGTCAATTGATAACTCACAATAGAGTGAAATGTGGTTGTCAAAATCAATAAAGAAACCAAGATTAAAAAAAGACAAAAATCTCAAGAAATTTTTATAGCAATTTATGTAGGCATAATAATACATACGAAAATTTTCAAAAATATAAACACAGCTTAAACAAAATATAAACAAATATAAAAACAAAAAAAAAACAAAAACACAATATAAACAAAAACACAATATAAACAAAAATATAAACACAACTTGGAATATCAGATATTTAGTCTTATAACAGGTTTATGGAGTTATCAACACAAATGGGTAATAGAGTTTTAAACT